TGGATTTATGGTGTATCCATTATTCATATCAGCTATTTGAGGGACCTCCTTGAGGGAGCCCTCTCTATTTAGTCTTTTCTGTTATTGACATTGCATATTGCTGCCTAATTTGTGGTCTATAACAATTCCCAAATCCTTCTCTTGTGTTAAAGTTATTGATAAAATCAATTCAGGTTAATGTATTTTATTGTAAGAGTACAATAAACTGTAATGGCGCTAACTGGGTCCCTTTAAATAAGTCACAGTGTCTGCGTCCAACTAGTAGTTTGTCATATAAAGAGTGACCAGCAGACAGCGCGATGTGTGTACCAAGCAGCCACTAGAATATTATATTTCACCAGCATATTCCGAAATGCTGTAAATAGGTACTACAAAGACAAACAATTCTAACAAAATATGTTTGACATATGGGAACAGTTGGTGAAGAGGACCAAACGAGCTTACAATCTATTAGAGTATGTCACATACAATATGTAAAATAAAGGATATCACAGTCTGCGTAAATATAACCTACTCTACGCAAGGCACTGTGTCCCCCAAAGCCTTCGATACCTTTATCAGCAAATTATCGAAAACTACCACCAAAATCACATGTCCATCAGTTTACCACGTGGTCCCATTATCCAGAATCTCTGGCTGAAGGGAGCGATCTGTATACTGTGATTATTGGGTAAATCATGTTATTACCCAGAATCCCTGGCTGAAGGGGGCCCTCTGTATACTGTGATAATGGGGTAAGGCTGGTTATTACCCTGAATCCCTGGCTGAAGGGGGCCCTCTGTATACTGTGATAATGGGGCAAGGCTGGTTATTACCCTGAATCCCTGGCTGAAGGGGGCCCTCTGTATACTGTGATAATGGGGTAAGGCTGGTTATTACCCTGAATCCCTGGCTGAAGGGGGCCCTCTGTATACTGTGATAATGGGGCAAGGCTGGTTATTACCCTGAATCCCTGGCTGAAGGGGGCCCTCTGTATACTGTGATAATGGGGTAAGGCTGGTTATTACCCTGAATCCCTGGCTGAAGGGGGCCCTCTGTATACTGTGATAATGGTTGGTTGGTTGTGGCTCATATGAATTGCCACCAATGACAGAGCTGATCTGGAGAGTAGGTCTTCAGAGTCGAACTACGATCTAGATAGATTCGGTTCTGGCTGTCAAAGACAGGATGTTTGGGGTTATGTCGATTCTCATTATTCCTCTGCATGCCATTTGGTTTGGTGGAAATAATAGATAGCCAGGCGCACTGTGTATGGACTAACATGCAATAAATTCTGGACATTTCTTAACTGGACTCCTGAGATATGTCATTCATAGGAATTTCTCAGATCAGATTAACCCCAAAAGGAATTTCACATTCGAAGCAGCATCTGATCACTAATGGAGATTAGATTAGAACAATCATCATATCTACATGTAAGCACTTTAAACAAGCATTCCATCTATCTCTAAACGGAGAATTCTATAGATATCTAGAGGATGACCTGGTAGTAAACTTCATCACACTATACCTCTTGTGGTTATGATGCGTCCTCCCAGGGCCAGTTATCAAACTGTCTGAGCGGTTTTGAAACTTCCCATAAGGCGGATATATAACCAAAAAGAAGTCTTCCTGAAGAAGTAGAGACCCTCGGAGTTAATCCAATTCTGGCAGCTGGAATTAACTCAGACATGGGAAACTTCAACTTTTCCTGGGGAATTGGACTGGTGGTTAAAGTGGTACATCCTCAAGCACGAGGCATTCGGTACACCATAACCACTGTACTAGTTTAGAGTGTTGCTTTAATGAAATCCACCTCACTATTAAGCCCCATGTGCATTCCCACTGATTAAATTCACCATTACACATCTTCTTACACTAATCCCCATTACACTATACCTCCATAATAGTCCCCGTTTACACTATACCTCCATAATAATCCTCCCATTACACTATACCTCCATAATAATCCCCCCATTACACTATACCTCCATAATAATCCCCCATTACACTATACCTCCATAATAATCCTCCCATTACACTATACCTCCATAATAATCCCCCCATTACACTATACC